ATACTATGTTTTGTTGAGCAGACTAAGAATGTGTGGTTTGTGGGATGACGTGAAAACGTGAGGGGACATTTAGGAAAGCACAGAGAGGGTCGTCACGCCACACTTAGAAACATGTTTGGAACTGCGGACACAGGCAAAGCGGCACTATGGCATCAATGTCGTTGTACTTTTCACATGATTTTGTCATGACTTAGAACCTCCATATGTCCTTGTGTTGAAAGACTGGTGCCCTGTTGGTGGTGGTATTGGGAGATGGTGGAAACGTTGGGAAGAACAGCCAACTAGGAGGAAACACGGTGTGGTATGCACGTAAGGGGATACTGGCGCCCTGGCTCCTTCCTGCCTCTCAATCAATGTTTAATAAACTGTTACCTATTCTGGTACTTGCTTGGAAGGGCTCAAGAGTTCCAGCAGCAGAAGAGCCCAAAGAGGCTTAGCGGGAGGGCTGTCAGGAAGACAGAGTCAAGAGGTGAATCACAGGCGCTAAGGACAGTGTCACTTGGAGGCTGCCTGAAGCTCTGAGTAAGACACTACTGAGGGCAGCCGCTGAGTAACTAACTAAACACACATAGCAGCAAGATGGTGAGATATCAGGGACACAGTACATCTATAGCAAGAGAAAGAAGCAGTCTACACAGTCCCTGAAGCCTTCGGGAATGGGACATTGTACCTGGTAAGTAAAAATCTCAGTGTTGGGGCTATAGAGACAGCTCAGCAGTTGAAGAGCTGACTGCTCTTGTCAAAGACCTGGGATCACTTCCCAGCATCCATATGAGGGCTCCTAACCATCTGTAACTTTAGTTCCACAGAACCTAATGCCTCCTCTAAAACATGGTACACATACACACACTCAGGCACACATATATGCACTGTTTGTGTGTGTGTACATGCGTATTTTAAATTCCAGTATTGGTGTGCAACTTTGGAGTGCAGCAATAGACCAGCACTTTCAGGGTCCTAGATTCAGTCTCCAGAACTACAGGAAAGAGCTCAGGACTGACAAAGACCCCAGTGCTTGCTAGGGGAAAGAATGAGCAGCGAGAGAAGACGCATGAAGAGAATTTATTCTCTGCAGGATCACCTCCATTCTCCAGCTAGTCTTGCTTCCTGTTGAGACTTGCCCGTATGGGCACATTTACATCAAGTGTGCTCATCATCTATACGCTGTCTCACAACCTTTCTCTGTGTGTAAAACACAAGTAGGTTTCACTGCAGTTGCTAAACATACACCTTGCATCATCATTAATGGTGCCAAGACTTACAAATTTAATATAGTGCATTAAGAAAATCGCTCACTTGGGCTGTTTGGTATTGATGATATTTATGGTCTTTTAGTGTTCATGAAAACCTAGTAAACTCAACGTGTCAACACCTGTATTTCCCACCTTACTTCTCTAGGGCAAATTTTCTAAAAGATAAGTTAGCAAGTTAAAAGAGACACATTTTTTTAAAAATTGCCGGTGTCCTTTGCCAGTTGCCCGGCACAAGCTTTACTTTCCAGCCGACTGCCTACGAATGAGTTTACTTGCTCTGACTTTCAACTATTTTGAGTGTGTCTTTGCCATGTTTCACACTGTTTTTTGCTGATTTACATGTCTTAGCACCAGAGAGACAAACTACATTTTTGAGTGTTCTGAATATTCAGTATGAAAGAAGTAAAAGACTAAGCCTTGGTGAGTGGCGAGCTGTGAGATGGGAGGAAGCAGAGGATGGGATTCCTGCTGGGGTGAGGAGCTCTCTGGTGATAGGCATCTCTGAAAAACAGTTTGCTCGCTCACACCTGTAATTCCAGCATGCCAGAGACAAGGCAGATTACCCTCAGTTCCAGGGCAGCCTGGGCTACAGTCTAAGGCCTTGTCTTAAAAATCAAAGAGTAGTGGAAAGAGGGAGGAAGGAAGGGAGTAAATACCAGCGATGGGAAAATGTACACGCAGGTTTAGGCAATGGTACTCTGGGCAGCGGGAGCCTGAGACATCGAAGAAATATGGTGGGGATGTTCAGTGAGCAATTTCATACCCAGGGGCTGGGAAGTCAAGCAGGAGTGAACTCAGGGCTGGCAGCCAGTCTGTGAATCAGCACACAGTCTGTTAAAGACCCTGCCTGGTGAAGAGGCAGAGAGGTCTGAGTGGAGGAACAGTGGGCTCAGACCGAGCCCCAGAGTAGAAAGACGAGGCAGGAACCAGCCTTGAGAGGAAACGCCAGCCATTACAGTTAGCAGGACCAGTCCTCTAACCTGAAGCGTAAGTGGAAGTAAAGTGGATTGTTTGACTAATTTTGTTTTTACTATGGTAGATAAATTTAAGTACAAAAATAAAATAAAAGACATTGATGCTTTAAATGTGACTCAATTTCCTAAATGTAGCTTTCTTCATTTTACTGACGTCAGTGCTGATGACCAACCGTGAGGATGTGTGGGTGAAGAAACCTGGCACCCTCCACAACATGGCACCAGCTCGGGAGTCCGCTCACTCTTAGGCAATCATTTATTTTGGCATTTACCATATAATAAATTACCAAATCGGCAAAGGAAAACTTACAAAGCACTATGAATAGGTAGTAATCTTTAGGAGAATATAAAGTAGATGCCAAGCTACATTCCAAAGGAAGTACTAACAAACAAAAAAAGTAATAAAAGAAAAACCAGGAAACCACTCTTACACTGCACCGAGCTAGGAAGCAGAAGGTCCTGGAATTACATGTTTCCTGCTCCTCCATGACTCTGTCTCCTTAGAGACTTTTCTTCCTTAAAAAAACGAAAACAGCTCACGTCTTTAATCCCAGTACTAGGAACACAAAGAGAAATGGATATTTATGAATCATAGGGCAAGCTGGTTTGTACAGTGAGCTCCAGGCCAGCCAAGGCTACATAGTAAGACCCTGACTTAAAAGCAAATAAAACCAAAAATCAAACAGAAACAGAACACTAGAGACTTCACCCACTTGCTGGGCTGTCTCTGCAATTCACAGCTATCTCCTGGGATCCTCTGACTCAGAAACATACTTCTTCATAGTTCTGGGGACCAGAAACCTGACCACAAATGCAGGCCAGTCTAGTCCCTTCCAAGGCCTGTGTCCCGGGTGTACAGGCGTTAGTCGGGCTCTCTGTGTCTTCCATAGCCAATCATCTGTGTAGATCTCTGTACAATCTCCTCTTCTCATGGGATGTCCATACCAGATTAGAACCTGTCCACATGACCTCATTTATGTCCAAATACAGCCGTCTTCATAAGCTCAGGGGATGTCAACATAAGAATTTGGGTGAGACACCATTCAGTGCCATACCACATGCTACAGATTCAAAGGAAAAATCCTAAAGAAATCTGTAACTATTAACTTCACAGTTCCTATCAGGGGGCTTTGTGGGAGCCCTGGAGTCTAAGGACCGTCGTGGGTCAGGCTTCTGTCAGAAAGGACATATGAGGGGCGCAGATGTGACCATTCAGCAGTGAAGTCAGAGCTCCCAGAAGCCCACATGGGGTGGAGAAGAAGCCATTTCTAGCCTGATCTGACGGGTGACGAGAGGAATGGGGCAGCAGGCAACTGCTATGCCATGCCAATGTGAATGTGGCCTGTGGAGTATGAGGCAGGACTACCAGCTCATCCCCTCCATGGTACCTCCCCGGAATGAGCTCTGCTGCTGCTACAGGAAAGGAGAACCTACCTGATGTCTCCACACTGGGCAGCCTCCTCCACGGTCAGAGTTGCGGCTGCATAGAGGAAGACTAACAAGGGTCCCATGGGCCTTCTGTGATCACGCAGTGCAATGAAGGAGAACCCCGCAGGGGTGAGGCTACTCTTGTGCCTTCCGGTCTGGCCAGGAGCATCCTAGAGGCTAAGAGAGGAGCAGCCGGGAAGTGGGTCAGCTCAGTTTTGGTGTGCCTGCTCAGTAGAAGCGTCTGAAGGGTGCTTCATTCTCAGTAAGATACAGGAAGTAGATCATCAGATTTCCCCAGAAGCCTGCATGAAACTTTCGTGGCTGTGCCATCAAAGTTGCGCAAACAGGGCAGCAGTGACAAGATAATCTGCGCAGTCCTAAAGGCCTGAAGTCCACAGTGCAGGAACTGGCGGGGTCACCCACTGCCTTGGAAGGGGCTAGGGAATGGCTGCATTTTTAAAATGGATGAATTCCGTTATATCTCTTTTTTTAATTTTTATTTTTTGGTCGTCAAAAGAATAGGCAACACAGAATCTAACCACAGTTACCAATCTCAACTAACACCAGTAGTGTCTCAATTAAGAATTTAACTGAAAAACTTGAATTGCACAAAGAAACACAAACTGCACAAAAATACCTTGCTACCTTTCCTCCTCTAATAAACATGAAGCAGAAGCAGCTCAATGGGTTTTTAGCATATCTACATTAGACTTTGACTCCATAGGTATTATAAAAACTAAAACAATTTAAGCTAAAAGAAACTTGGTCCTATGTTTTATTTCTTTTTCAGAACTTTCACCTATTTTTATAACTTCAAAAAATTGTTTTATATTCCCCATGTAGAAAAAAATAGTTACTATACTAAAACAACCTTATGGTTTCCAGGTAAAAGGAAAGAGCTAGTCCAATTTAAGTGTAGGAACTAGATAGCACCAACGAATGGCAACTTCAGAGTTACTATCAGCACAGAAATGTGGTGGGTAAGATTTACAGAAGAAAAAGTATTCTACTGGTTTGAAATATGACAGAAATAATAACTAAATGCAATGAAGATTAGAAATACCAAGAGCGTGAATAATCCTTAAAGTTAAAGGGCCACAAGTAAGGAAAATTTAACTAAACACCTGGTAAAACTATGATTGAACCTTGACCAGATCAAATTTTATTTAAAAAAAGGGGGGAGGGCAGGTAAGGGAGAGAGAATACAGGGGGGCAGCAGTTTCCACCATCAGATTTATATCTTACAATATAAACTTTAAATTAAAAAATGCCCTACCAAGAAAGGAGAACTCTAACCACCCAAAAATGCTAAACTGGATAAAGGTAAGGTTGGTTGTTCTCAGCTCTAGTTATGCTGGCCTCTTACAAAATGACAGGCAAAATCGTACTTGTTTTTACAATTGTATCCACAGACGTTACAGCGAAAAGGACTGTCGTACCCATGGCATCCCATATGGATAGTGTAAAGGACGTTGTCTGCAAAGTATGTGTCACAGTGCTGGCAGTGGGAAAGCAGCTGAGGGTCCTCCGCTGGCAAGGTTAGGGCCGGAGTGCTCGGCTGGCTGTTTCCGAGGATGGAGGTGCCGGTGGTGTGGCCACTCGGCTGGCCTCTGGGCCCTGCAAACGGACTGCAGTCTCTGTGACTAAATGACGGTGGATGAGGCTCGAAGACCGTGGGGGAGCTCTGAGGGGCACTCCCTTGGGCAGAGGGTTGTTGCATCATGAAAGGATTTTCATCGAGGCTGGAGTCTACATCAGCTGAGACGCGGTTATGGTTTTCAGGTGACAAGCTAGACAAGTGTCCTGCTAGAGCAGACATCTGATTCAAGGAATTGTCCACTAGCAAGAGCTCCTCGGGGTCCCTCAGCAGTCCACAGAGTGAAGGTTTATCCATACTGTCAAAGAAGTCATTCTGAACATCTAGGATCTTGTGGGGAAAATCGCTCGGGTAGTCTGGTTTCTGAACGACCCCAGAAGATGGACCTAGATCAATGAGCATCCTTCGTTTGCCACCCGCTACGCTGCTTTTATTCTGCAAGTCCCCCCACATTTTCACACTGCTTAAGGAGGCCCGGGGCCCGGTGAGCGGTAACAAATTATGCCTGCGCCTTTGATGGTGGGACAGGTTGCTTCTGTAATTGCAGCGGTAGGCGCACAGCTCGCATTTGTATGGCTTCTCTCCGGTGTGGGACCGCATGTGAGCCTCGAGGTAGCGCTCGTAAGCCGAGGCGAAGGGGCAGAAGTGACACTGGTGTGGCTTCTCGCCCGTGTGGATTCTAGTGTGCTCCAGCAGCCGCTCAACTCTCTCGCTGGCATAGCTGCAGTACGGGCACTGCAGCTTCCCGTCCAAGGTCCTCCCCAAGTCGTCCAGCATCAGCACCGGGCTCCCATCCAGGGCATCGCCATCGCCGGGGAGGCCGGGGAGGCCGGGTTCACGGGCTTGCTCTGCCAGGTCCCACGCCAGCTCGTTCACCTGGCGGGTCTGCTGGCTCAGGTACTCCCGGAAGTTCTTCAGGAAGTCCTGCGGCTCCACCCTCTTCTCCCCCATCTCCTTCTGCTCACACACAGAGAAACTCCCAAGGCCTCACTGCGCTCAGCCTACGCCCACCATGGTGGCCAAGCATGTCTCTTCCTGTCCTGGAATGCACATCCAAGTCTCGCGAGAGTGCGGATGCTGGTGAGGAGGGGGCGGGGCTTTAGAGGCCACGTGCTTCGTGCCTGCAGGTTCGCCTGCATCACAGGCCATGCACGTACAAGACGCAGGCAGGGGGTGAAAGGAGGCCACGTGGGAAAACGTTAGGGATGGGCAAACTGTTTGGTTGTAACTTGACTTCATCCGTATTTCCATCCCAGAACATTTAGCTCCTGGCATCCCAGAGTCTGGATTCTTGGTCCAGAGCCATGCCTTGCCCACGTGGACCTCCGCAGGGCTGGGCGACCTGGTCACTGGTGTGGAGAGATGAAAGTCGAGATGGACCATGCTGCATACAAACCCTGAATCTCATACGGACCATTCCTGTCTGCTACCTTCTCCCATGCCGGGGGCTCCAATTCTCTCACTTCTTGATTCTCGGTCCAGAAATGAACTCAGCTACCTTTCATTTTGCCTGCAGCCACTAAAATGGCAGTGGCTTTGCCGGCTCTTGTCCCTTCTATTCTTTTTGTTTCCGTGTTTATTGTTTACACCTTTTGTGAAAATTACTTTCCATCGTTTTCTTGTAGAGGGAATGGAAACTGGTAGTTGTGTGTTTGTGCCTTTTATGTTTAAGGCCCTAAAATAACCTTTAGTTGTGTGGGGGGAAGGAGGAAGAGATCTGAAAAACAGGAATGATTAAACTCTATTCCCTTTCATATGAGAAAAAGTTTTGTTTTTAATCCAGTCACTAAGTTCTGCTAAATAAAAGTACTCAAATCAAGAGCATTTATAACCACATTTAAATTTCATCCACCCCCCATTCGTGCAGGGACTTAGAAACTAAGCAAGGACCCAGCATATAAGTCCTGGCATATGAGGGTCCAGCATGCTGTGTAGTTTGTTTAGGTACAGATGTTAACTTCATGCAGAGACATATGCATGACTTTCCATCTCCAACCAGTCACTGTGGAGTGTCACTGTAAAAACCCGAAACTGTCCTATACCTACCTCCATGTCACTACAGGATCAGTTGCACGAGTTGGGAACTAAGCTGGAGACTTAAAAACACATAGGCAGCCGGGCGGAGGTGGCGCACGCCTTTAATCCCAGCACTTGGGAGGCAGAGGCAGGCGGATCTCTGTGAGTTCGAGACCAGCCTGGTCTACAAGAGCTAGTTCCAGGACAGGCTCCAAAGCCACAGAAAAACCCTGTCTCGAAAAAAAACAAAAACAACAACAAAAAAAAACCAAAAAAAAACAAACAAACAAAAAAAAAACATAGACAGAGAGACAGAGACGCTGACACGGGTCATCCTTGATATAAAAATGCCAAATGCCTCCTTTATTGTGCTCTGAAGCAGAAAAGTGTGTGTGACCCCTGCCTGCTTCTATACAGGGTCAGCTTTGGTGTTCCTGGTGGTTTGAATGAAAATGACCCCCAAGAGCCCTTAGGGAGTGGCTCTGTAAGGAGGTGTCGCCTTGTTGGAGTAGGTGTGGCTTTGTTGGAGGAAGTGTGTTTCTGAGGGTGGGCTTTGAGCTTTCAGATGCTCAAGCCACGCCCAGTGTCACTCTCTTTGCTGCCTGCTGATTCTGATGTAGATTCTCAACTACCGGAGCTGGAGAGTTGGCTCAGAGGTTAAGAGCACTGGCTGCTCTTCCAGAGGTCCTGAGTTCAATTCCCACCAACCACATGGTGGCTCACAACCATCTTTACTGAGACCTGGTGCCCTCCTCTGGCGTGCGGGCATACATTAAGACAGAATGTAGTATACATAATAAGTAAATCAAAAAAAAAAAAGACAGAATGTAGTATACATAATAAGTAAATCAAAAAAAAAAAAGAATTCTCAACTACCTCTCCAGCACCATGTCTACCAATGTGCCATTATGTTTCCAGTGGTGACGGTAATAGATTGTCACCTCTGAACTGTAAGCCAGCCCCAATTAAATGTTTTCTTTATAAGAGTTTCTGTTTTCATGGTGTCTTTTCATAGCAATAGAAACCCTAACAAAGGCAGTGTTTTAAACAAACGTGCTGTGTGATAAGATGATGCACAAGAACCCGTGTTGTGCATAAGTAGTTAGAACTTAACACATTTTAATGCTTTTCTTTACTCTGCTTTTTTAAACATTTATTTGTTGAGGAACATGGAGGTATTTTAGTTAGAGTTTCTATTGTTATGATGAGACACTATGACCAAAAAGCAAGCTAGGAAGGAAGGGGCTCATTTTGGCTTACATTTCCAAATTGCTGTTCATCACTGAAGGAAGATAGGACAGGAACTCAAACAGGGCAGGAACCTGGAGGCAAAGAGCTAATGCAGAGGCCATGGAGGGGAGCTGTTTACTGGCTTGCTTCACATGGTTTGCTCAGCCTGCTTTCTTAGAGAACCCAGGACCACCAGTCAAGTGATGGCATCACCCACCACAGGCCTCCCCCATCAATCACTAATTGAAAAAAATGCCTTACAGCTAGATTCCATGGAGGCATTTCCTCAGCTGAGACTCCTTCCTCTCTGATGATTTTAGCTTGTGTCAAGATGGTACACAAAACCAACTAGAACAGGAGGTCAGAGGACAACTAGCTGGTTCTTTACTTCTGCACATGAGTTCTAGGGACAGAACTCAGGATGTCAGTCTTGGTGATAAATAACTTTGCTTACTTAAGCCATCTTGCCAGACCTTTTCTTCTTATTGAAATATCGCCTCACATTTTTTGGTTACTAGGATATCCACTTTTCTTATTGATTTATAAGCTATCTTCATTTGCAATATATAAGGTGTGGAGGTTTGAATGAGAATGGCCCCTATATTCATATATTTGAATACTTGGTCCCCAGGTGGTAGAACTGTTTGGGAAAGATTAGGAGGTGTGCCTTTGTTGGAGGAGGTATGCCACTGAGGGTGGGCTTTGAGGTTTTAAAAGACCATACCATTCCCAGCTCTTTCGCTACTTCATGCATGTGTCTCAGGATGTGAGTTCTCAGCTACTACTTCAATGCCATGGCTCCCTGCCTGTTGCCATGGCTCCACACCATGGGGGCCATGGACTCACTTCCTGGAACCGTGAGCTTAAAATAAACTTTTTTTTTTTTTTTTTTTTTGGCAAGTGACCTTGGTCACGGTACCTCATCACATCAATAGGAAAGTAAGACATAAGAAAAAGGCCTCTATGAAGAAAGCGAAGAACAATAGAAACAGAGAGCCTCGGGTCTGAAATAGCAAGACAAACCCAAACATAACAGAGAAGGAAAAAAATCATATAAAAATAGAGATAAATCAGAATATTTACAAGGAATAAGAGAATAGAGAGAGCAACAAAAAACATAAATGAGGAGATCAGATCACTGAAGTAGAAATTAAAAGTTTTTAGCAGCTCTTTGCCTCTTTACCTCTTGTCCTTCCATCTCTCTTGCCTCTTTCTAGTCTTTGTCTCTTCTTTCCTCTCTTGCCTCTTCTTTTCTCTCTCCTTCCTCTTTTCTGCCTGCCTCTCTCAAGCCCCCACTCCGACATAGCCTTTCGCTCTTCCACTCTGCCGATAAACCTCTTGCACTAAAATAAATAAATTCGTGAAAGTTTTTAACATCTGGCCATGGTGTTATCCACCTTTAATTTCAGTCCTCCAGAGGTAGGATCAGGTGGGCTTCTACCATTGTTAAGCCAACCTGATCCATGTAAATGTTCAGGCCAGTTAGAGATACATAGAGACGCCCTGTCTCAAAATAAATATATAAAATTTAAAGGATGAGGAAAGAGGTGAAAGATACCCAAGAATTTGCAAGACAATGTCCACAGGGTTCGTGTTCCTTTCTGTCGTGTGCATAGTGACAGTGACAGGGAAATAAAATACATATGCGAAGATATAACGGAAAGGAGTGTCTAAAAAATGAAAAGAAATATGCATATTGTTATTTTCAAAAAGGCAATAAGACGGAAATATAAACCATGATTATATCAAATGCCTCAAAGGCAACAAAACCCAATTATATAATGAAAGAAAATACACCGAGAGTGGAAATGAGCATAAGGTGTGACAGGGTGTGTTTGTCGCTTGTCAAATGAAAACAGGGGCATGCTGTGGAAGAGGCGGTGGAGAGCATGTAAGGGCCGGAGAGGACAGAGGACACCAGAACAGTCCCTCTGAGCCAACTAAGCACAGACCACGTGAACCAAAGGAGGCTGAAGCCGCATGCACAGGGTCTTCACAGGTGCCAAGTCCTCCGAGGACCTCTCATCCAAACCACAGCATTCCGCTCTCTGGCCCTCGTGGGCCTGTGGCCATATCACAGAGCAGAATATATGCTCCAACTTCAAAGCCACCTGACTTCTACAGTCACAACAGTGGTTCTAAATCCAAACTCCCTTCTGAAACTCAAAGCAATCTCTTAATTATCACCCCCGGTGAAACCAGAAAGCAAATTATGTACTTCCAACATGAAATGGCACAGAATGTATATTATCGTTCCAAAAGGGAGGACTGGGGGGCATAATGAGGAAGCATTGGATCAAAGCAAGACTAAAAACCAGCAGTCAGATGCCAAATCCTACACTTCCATGTCTAGTGTCAAAAGGCTTAGCTGGCTCTGCCATTCCAGCTTTGTTGACCACAGCACACTTCTCCCTTAGGCTAGCTCCTTGACAGATGTCCCACAGCTCTCCAGGGCGACACCCGGTTTCACTTTCATGGCTTCATGCAATGGCCCAGCAGGACTTCCTCTTCTCTCGGGTCTTCACACACGGACTCCCCTGACATATATTTCTTGTCATCGGGAGCTCTGTGAAGCCATGGAGAATGAATCCATGACCGCTTATCTTTTATGATTCTAAAATTAGGACCATGTGGATGAAACGGCTGAGTTCAGCTGCCCACTTGGGATGGACCCGGCTCCTTGGAATCACAACAGCATCAGTTTA